CAAATGCTTCCACCCACCTCTGTTCACAAAAGTGTGCTTTACCAAGTCAGTGTAAATTATAGATAACTTATGAAAAAAATGTTTCTTAAATCTAGAAAACAAAACAAGTAAAGGGAGGGCGCGGTGGCTCACACCTGTGATCCCAGCACTATGGGAGTCCCAGGCGTGGGAAGGGAGGGTTGGGTGGGGAGGGATCACCTGAAATCCGGAGCTTTCAACCAGCCTGGCCAACAAGGTGAAACCCCATCTCTACTAAAAATAGAAAAATTAGCTGGACATGGTGGCGAGCACCTGCAGTCCCAGCTACTTGGAAGGCTGAGGCAGGAGAATCACTTTAACTCATGAGGTGGAGGTTGCAGTGAGCCGAGATCACACCACTGCACTCCAGCCTGGGCGACAGAGTGGGATTCCATCTCAAAAAGAAAAAAAAGGTAATAAATCAACAATGTTTTAACTACATGTTATAGTTATAAAGACATTATCTTAATTTTATGGATTTTTTTGTTTTGCTTCATCTAGCTTAGCAGTTTTTTGAACACTTAAGTTTCCTTATTAGACTTCTAGAAATTGTTTTTTAGTTTATTTTTATTTTTGAGATAGTGTCTCACTCTGTCGCCCAGGCTGGAGTGCAGTGGCACAATTTTGGCTCACTGCAACCTCTGACTCCCAGGTTCAAGCAATTGTCATCCTTCGGCCTCCCTAGTAGCTGGGATTACAGGCATGGACCACCATGCCTGGCTAATTTTTCTATTTTTAGTAGAGACGGGGTTTTCACCGTGTCGGCCAGGCTTGTCTGGAACTCCTGACCACAAGGTCTGCCTGCTGTGGCCTCCCAAAGTGCTGAGATTACAGGCGTGAGCCACTGAGCCCGGGCCTTTGATTTTTTTTTATTTATTTTTAATGTATTGAGGGGGTGTATGTGTGAGTTTCTGACATGCCTATATTGCATAGTGGTGAAGCCTGGGTAGTTCATTGTTGTGAGTTATCAGAAACCTGTGATCAAGAAGACTTGGTAGAGTTTTTTCCATGAAAAGCAAATTTGGGGGCCAGGCATGATGGCTCGAGGCTGTAATCCCAGTGTTTTGGGAGGCTGAGGTGGGCAGTGGATCACAAGGTCAGGAGTTGGAGACCAGCTTAGCCAACATGGTGAAACCCTTTCTTGACTGCCACCAATTAGCTGGGTGTGGTGACAGGTGCCTGTAGTCCCAGCTACGTGGGAGGCTGAGGCAGGAAAATCACTTGAACCCAAGAGACAGCGGTTGCAGTGAGCAGAGGTGGCACCACTGCACTCCAGCATAGGTGAGAGAGAGAGATTCCATCTTAAAAAAAAAAAAAGAAAATTTGAATTTGGACTGTTGCTGATTATAGATATTTTTAGAGAAGAATTCAAAACAGTAAATGTGGATGATGGAATCAATAGTTATGATGAAAATCTGCTGAACATTTCCAATCCACAAGGAAATTTAGTTAGTAGGTCTTATGTGCAGTATTTTAAGAGAGTAACCAGAATCCTGACATAAGGACCACAAAACTTTTATAAATTTGATATAATCCTCCGAATACATTAATAACTTTTTTTGTTGTTCTTTTTTGAGATGGAGTCTTGTTCTGTTGCCCAGGCTGGAGTGCAATGGCACAATCTCAGCTCACTGCAACCTCCACCTCCTGGGTTCAAAAAATTCCCCTGTCTCAGCCTCCCAAGTAGCTGGGACTGCAGGCATATGCCACCATGCCAGGCTAATTTTTGTACTTTTTTTCTTTCTGTGATGGAGTTTCACTCTTGTTGCCCAGGCTGGAGTGCAATGGGCATGGTCTCAGACCACTGCAACCTCTGCCTCTTGGGATCAAGTGATTCTCCTGTTTCAACTTCCTGAGTAGCTGGGATTACAGGTGCCTGATACCATGCCTGGCTAATTTTTGTATTGTTATTCGAGATGGTGTTTCACCATGTTGGTCAGGCTAATCTTAAACTCCTGATCTCAGTTGATCCACCTGTCTCTGTCTCCCAACATGCTGGGATTACAGGTATGAGAAAACATGCCCAGACATCAATAACATGTTTATACAAATATAACTTTGGCAGATATTTAGCATAACAATCAAAATTACAAATCATAATGTATCAATTCCCATAAATGTATATAATTTTTGGAACATGTATATCAACAACATACCCATAAATATAACTGAGATGAGATCTAATGTCACCTCATTTGACAATGCCCTCCCACACAGCATCATCACATTTGAAAATGTCCACCCATACAATCTACCAACTAAACTGAATCATTTAATATCTTTACAAGATGAGAAATACGTTCTTTAGACTCCCTGAGTGACCCAGCTGAAAAATCCCAAGGTAATTTTAAGCCAAAAAGACTTGATTTAGGATTTTGATGCTGGAGAAACCTGTCAAAGATGTCAAGTTTGAAAACACTTGATCAAAACAAAATCACGGGTCACTATTAGAAGAATATTCATTTAACCAGAGACTTCAAAACCAATACAGAAAGTTCCATGGACATAAAAACCTTAACCCTTTGTGTGTGTGTGTGTGTGTTGTGTGTGTGTGTACAGAGTCTTGCTCTGTCATCAGGCTGCAGTGCAGTGGCATGACCTCAGCTCACTGCAACCTCTGCATCCCTGGTTCAAGCAATTCTCCTTTCTCAGCCTCCCAAGTAGTTAGGACCATAGGTGCATGCCACCATGCCCAGGTAATTTTTGTATTTTTAGTAGAGATGGGGTTTCATCATGTTGGCCAGGATGGTCTCAATCTCCTGACCTCGTGATCCACCCACCTCAGCCTCCCAAAGTGCTGTGATTATAGGCATGAGTCACTGCACCTGGTGAATCCTTAACCTCTTTAAAATTCAGTTTTGCTAAGTAATCAAAAAGGGTACTTTAATTTCATCAGACAAAGGAAAAGTGTGTAAAGGGTTCTGGGTGTAGACACATGATGACATTGGTCATATCTTCATTGGCCACATGATTACACATTAGAATGACATCTTTAGTGACCAGAATGCCAGTGTTATAGAAGGTATAGGAGCCATTCTTGGACTTGAGACAAGAACATTGTTGTGTAGAAATTTCATTGATTGTGTTAAAATTATTCTCCATGGGCCAGAGAACACATAGCCTGGCCCTTAGAATGAGATGGGCTTTCATTGGATGCAAAGTCTTCACACTTACTAGCTGAGTCACATTAGACAAAGTGCTTCATCATTCTGAGACTCAGTTTTTTTGTTTGTTTTTTGAAATGGAGTTTTGCTCTTGTTGCCCAGGCTGGAGTGCAATGGTGTGATCTCGGCTCACTGCAAACTCCACCTCCCAAGTTTAAGTGATTCTCCTGCCTCAGCCTCTTGAGTAGCCAGAATTACAGTGATGCATCACCGCACCCAGCCAATTTTGTATTTTTGGTAGATATGAGGTTTCTCCTGTTGGTCAGACTGGTCTCTAACTCCTGACCTCAGGTGATCCACCCACCTCAGTCCCCCAAAGTCCTGAGATTACAGGCATGAGCCATCATGCCCAGCCTAAATAACATGTTTTTAAAAGTCACATTGTCCTACAATATCCATTTCTCTTGCATATTTAGGAAACTTAGGTTTTTTTTCTAAAACATGCTGACATATGGGAAATTGGATGCAAAATATGCATAAATGTTTTTGACACAGTTTGAGGTTTCCAAGAGATTTTGTGCTGAGGAGGCTGCTTGCTACAAGCTCCCAAACCTCTTGGAGGACATAGTATTCATCCTCCCTCAGAAGAGGCCATGAGGCGAGAAGCCTTGGGGAACACCTGAGTCTTGGGCTTTTAGCATAGAGTGTTCAGGTCTTTATAGTTTGAACCCACAGCACAGAGAGGTCATGGGTCTCTGGCTTCCTGTGACCTTTACCTTCTTTGCCAAAAGAAAATGTGATCCTTCAAAGCAAGAAACTTGAGGGCATGGGTTACGCCTGCCCCGGCATCTGCCCAGAGCTTGAGAAGGAAAGAACAATGGTCCTCCAGCTACCTCACAGGGCTGGCACAGGCAGTCACTGCCCTGTGTGGATCACCCCGCTGTTTTGGGCAACCTGAACCACATCTGTGGGAATACGAAAAGGAAAATACAAAAGTCTTTACGTGAGCACTGAGAAGGCAGACTCAGCAGAAACCTCCAGGAAGTAACTATCCAGTCTTGTACTGGAGAGAGAGAGCATATTGGTGATCACATGTATTTACACTCTAGGGTCACCAGGTGGCACTATGACCTCATCTGTGACTGAAAAGGAAGATTTGGATGAGTTCATCACAGCTAATGTTTAACAAGCCCCTACTATTTGCCAAATCATTCATCCTGGCAACAACCTAAGGAGCTGGGGATTCTTATATACATCTTTTATAGAGAAGGACACAGAGACATAAAAACATGAATTATCTTACCCACATCATCAGCTAATAAGTGGTGGAGGCCAAATAGGACCTAACAGTGGTGGTGGAGCCCACATGCATTGATTGAACAAGTGTGTATTGAGCACCTGCCAGGTACAAGGCCTTGTTTGATTAAAGACAGTTATGATTAATAATATAACAATGACAAATCACTGACACTTTGTAGACATCAGATTTTCTCTTTTGTAGGTTTCAGGCACAGAACTGTATATCCAATAATAGTGAAATGAATCCCACTGGTTAATGACAGAAATTATGATACATTTAAATGAGTTGGATGTTTTAGAATCCTTGACAGAAACGGAATGAGGAAGGAAATTGTTTCCATTTCACACAAAAGGAAACTGAGGTGAAGAGCGGTAAATTCATTTTGCATGGCATGAAGTAGAAATTCAAAGTATAGGAATTTGAACTTGGTTCTGACCTTTTCTGAGGCCCCCGTGCTCTTCACCACTATAGACTCAAGCATCACCTTGTTTTTCCACTCATTCAAGAAACTTTTTTAAACATTTAATTATCATCTAATAGATTGGCACTCATCATGAGTTTCTGTTCCTATTCTGCAGGTGGTGAAGCCCTCTATTGTCCTGACCCCACAGTTCCTGTCCCATGACCAGGACCAGTGCACCAAGGAGCTGCAGCAGCATTTAAAGTCAGTGCCATCTTCCATGCGAGTACCTGAGGAAGGTGACTGAGCACAGACAGATGGGGCCCGGTGCCCTTGAACAGTTCCTGGGTCTCTGTGCCCCACATCTCACAGGGGGCCATGCTGGGGGAAGTGTAGGCAGTCACAGTACTGGCTTTTCCCTCCTTTTCCTTTCATGCAAGTGGCTTAGGGATGGGGTAGAGTACTTGACTTATTTGGATAAAAACCACTATCTTGGTCAGAAACTCAAAAATAATTGCTGACATGTTAATCTAAAGAAAAACATCCAGACAAATGCCCAGTGGTACTTCAAAAGGCTATTTATTATCCTGTAAAATTTAGGCAGGAGTTGTGGCTCATGCCTGTAATCCCAGAACTTTGGGAGGCTGAGTCAAGTGGATCACCTGAGGTCAGGAGTTCAAGACCAGCCTGGCCAACATGGAGAAACCTCGTCTCTACTAAAAACACAAAATTATCAGGGCAAGGTGGCATGTGGCTGTAGTCTCAGCCTCTTGGGATGCTGAGGCAGAGAATGGCTTGGATCTGGGAGTCAGAGGTTGAAGTGAGCCGAGATTGCACCACAGTACTACAGCCTGGGTGACAGAGGGAGACTCTGTCTGTAAAAAAAAATATATATATATAGCAAAATTTGAAATAGAAATCAAAATCAGCACCTTCGAAACTATTTTTAACATGATTCATAATTAGAAATACATTTTATGTTACATATATAGTTCCATATTTTTGAATAAAATAACATTTATTTTACAACATGTAATACTTTTTAAATTCTCCGTCATTTGTTTTGAATTCTCTGTGCAATCTACAAAAAGCCCAATAGTAATAATTAAATTATTCACTAAATTAAACATTATCTTGTCATTTAAAATGATTTCATAAATGATCTTTCGTTTTTGAGATTATATGTGTGTGTGTGTATATATATGTACATGATCTTGGCTCACTGCAGCCCCCACCTCCCAAGTTCAAGCGTTTCTTTTGCCTTAGCCTCCCAAGTAGCTGGGACTACAGGTTCATGCCACCACACTTGACTAATTTTTGTATTTTTGTAGAGACAGGGGTTTCACCATATTAGCCAGGCTGGTCTCCAACTCCTGACTTTGTGATCCACCTGCCTTGGCCTCCCAAAGTTCTGGGAGTACAGGTATGAGCCATCATGACAGGCCCGAGATAAAATATTTTTAGCAATATACTATTAAGAGAAAAACACTGGATATGAAAGAATATTCATAGTTTTATCCTGTTTAAATATTGAAAGAATATATATACAAATAAGTTTACATGTTTTTGGTAATACTTTGTTGCACTGTTGGAATATTGACAATATGCATTTTGAAGTTCCATAATTAATATAAAGTACTCACTGTGTGTGCCAGGCCTGGGCTCAATGCTCTACATGCATTTTTATTTCATTTCATTCTCTCCACAACCTGAAGTAGTATAACCAACCCATTTTACAGAGTTGAAACTGAGGCTCAGAGACTGAAAGTTAAATGCCTGAGGTTGCAGTTAATAAGAGGCAGAGCTGGAACTGAAATTTACATGTGTCTTTCAACCAGTTTATGTTCTGATGGTAGGCTAGTCTGCTTCAGAGTATGGAATAGATGGTGTGTGCCTGCTAGGATGGACCAGGTATCATTGTAGGTAATAGCCCCCAAAAATGGAAATTTACAACACTGAAGGCTCTTTGTCTGCTCATGCTGCATGTCCTCCATGGCTCTCCTGGGACCTGTGCTCCAAATCCCCTCATTTGCCACCAAAATAAAGGAGCAGCCTCTATATGGGACCTATCAGTGGCTCTAAGAGATAAGAGAAAGGGTGGCCAGTTTCAATGGCTCCCAATTATTTTGCCTCCAGGTGACACACTTCACTTCCATTCACATCTCCTGAGTCAGAGCAAATTCCATAACTACCTCCACCTTCAAGGGGCCCAGAGGAGAACCTGCAATACTTGGTGGACTCCATTAGGGCCACCATACGGTGTCAGCCTGTGCGGGAGACTGTGGAGGGGCAGAGGAGGAGAGTAAGGAATTGATGGGAAATGAGAGCAGAACTGAGTCACCTCAGATTTGCTTTATCCTCAACCAGGTGGAGTTTGTCCCAGAGCTGCACAAAATCATCAGCAGCATGATCAAACGGTAAACTTCAGAAAATGCAGGTTGTTTAGATGTGATCGGTAGTGAACTCAGAATCAGCCAAGTGACACTGAGTTAGTAAATCTCTGACTGCCTCAGTTACCTTGTGTAATAGTGGTGAAGATGAAAGCATTGAGAGAGTTGATTTGGAAGGATATCAGCAGTGTGAACATTCAACATTTTAGTTCCTTTAAGTTAAATTCAGGCACTATCTTTCCTGCAAGTCTCCCATTTCTTTCAGATTGCACAGGTGAGAGTGCTCAGCTTAGGGCTGGAGGTCATAAAATACTAATTCCCACAGCAACCGTTCCTGTGTCGTGCATGCATCCTGTGCATTTTCCTATGCTAAACAGGGTCCCAAAACATTGTGGGGACTGATTCTTCCTCCTTGTTCCAGTGGCCCTGGGTGACTCAAGTGCCCATTCAATGACCAGGACACAAAGGTCTTACAGTGATGCTCTGTGAGGCCCAAGGTGACAGCCACTGCCCTGCCAAAGTATGAGGCAAGGGACAGGGCATCATCTGTGGGGGCAGTGGTCAGCCAGGCTTGGTGACTCTACCTGGTGGACAGATGATCCTACACCTCCCACCTCCGATGGATCCACGGCCTCTGTTTGTCCTGCTGATGCTCCAGTGGCTGCCCCAGCATCCCAGCCTAGGCCCAGTGCCACTGAAAACAGACCTGGCCCCTGGGGACCCAGGAGTCCTAAAGGACTCACTCAGCTGTCCACAGACCCTCATTCTTATCAAGGACTTAGGAGCCCTACCCCCCAGCCCTCTGTCATCAGCCATAAATGATGACTTGCTGCTGTTATCATCATCACTGCCTTTAGCTGCCAAGGACCTTCCAAGGCGCCAGCTCTGGAAGGAAAGATGTCCCTGGGAGGTGATGGCACTAGGTACACAGGTGCTCAACAGGTTGCTTCTTCCTCAGTCTTTGACACAGCCATTGACACTCACATTGTGTGGAAGGAAACCAGCCCAGGGTTGCACAGCTGGCCTCAAATCTAAGGTGCCTGACTCTGCCTCCATGAGGAACCTGCCTGCAAGCGAGGTCGACCCTGGGTTTGGGGAGCCTTTCTTGGGCTGCATGAATCACCTCCCAAGCTGGAGGTGCCAAGCTCTGCTCACATCTCCTTCCTTGCTCTGCTTAGGCTATAATCGAGGTGACCCCAGCAACCCTTCATGGACATCATGGTACTCTCTGCCATTCCCTTTTGGGCTAATCCGACTTCAACATCCACTTACATGGTCTCTCCTTTTACAACCAAGACAACTCAAATCTGGGGCTCTTTATGCAGCTCACAGCATACGAAGAGAATTAAATGCCATAGTTGTGTTATCCCTGTTTTGTTTTTGTTTTCCTTGTGTCTCAGGGTTGTTTTTCTATTTATGGTAAAGGCATTGGCCTTCCATTTGTAGCATGAATAGGATATTTGCAGTTTACGATAACTTTATGCCATAGTAAATTGTAAGGAGATTTAAAATAGTGGTTTTCAGCTGTGAGAGGCCTGAGTACGTTTAAGCACACTCTGTGTGACTAGGCAGAAGCAGGCCTTTGGGAAGTGTAGCTGAGGATGGGTCCACAAAAGATAATGGATAGTGGGGGTCTGACCTGGTCAGCAAGCCCCTGGGTCCTGCTCACCAGTTTGGCACTCCCTAGCCATCACTCATGATGCTTCCAAACCCTCTGGGTATTGTGGCCAAATCCCCCAGGAGAGAGGCTGATGAACTTTGTCTCTTGAAATGCAGATTCCTTGGACATCCCTGGGAGCTCAGCCATGACAGTCAACTTGGTTTTCTCCCCATCATTAGGGGAGAATTAAAAGTCCACCTTCACAGTAAGATAATATAGATAAGTGACACCATCACCCTGTTTCAGATGTTAACCTGTCCAGGTGTGTTAGGGGTGACTTGAGACCACACAACCTTGTGCCACACAGTGGAATTCCCGGACCAGAGGGAGACATTGGATTGCCATGTTATGATCTCACTGAGTGTAAAGCCAGTCTTGTTTCACTTTGGATTCTTTCTTCTGTTGATATCTTATAAGGGCACTTTGAATTTTCAAGCATATAATAATTTTTGGTTAGCTTTTAATCATTGACTTCTAGCACAATTCTGTGATCAGAAACCTGCTGTGTGATTGGATTTGTCTGAAATATATTGAGATTTGCTTGATGAAGAAAGTTGGGTTAATTTTTGTAAATGTACCATGCGTGATTAAAACCAGTGTAGCTCCAACATTTGTTCCTGAGATACAGGATGATGGATGGATGTCTCCATGGAGGTGATAGAGATGGTTACTATTGGGACTTTCCACATCCTTCCGATGTTTTCTTGCTTAGAATATGAATGGCTGAGAGGGGGCTGTGGAGCTCCCACTCTGCTTGTGTGTGAGGTTCTTCCTGCTGTCTTGCCATCATTTGTTTCTTATGTTTTGCAGCCAAGACCATAAGAAACCCTGGGAGCTCAGGAAGGAAGAAGCCGCCCAGAAGCAGGAACAGGGAGCTGGTGGGGAAGACCAGAAATCAGATCTGTGAAGGTTCCATAGAGACTTGGGGCATTGGAGGACGTGGGTGCTCCGTGGAATGTCCACTGAGATGTACCACGTTCCGGGGCCGGGGATTGGTGGAGAGGGAGTATAAAGCCCCAGGGTTGCTTAGGCAGTGCCCAGGCAGGAGAAAATGTGGTTGGAAACCAGAGCCCTGGTCTCTGTCTAATTGCTCCTGAGCCTCATACTTGCTGGCCCCAAGTGTCCTGTGGCTTTCCTGATAGACTTTCTCAATGACTTGTAGCTGAACCTCCCAATCGCCCTTGAGAACCTAGTTTGAACCAGATCCTTTCCCAGACTCCCTCCTCCAGGTGCCCAACATCCCCCCTTGTCCTCCCTCTCCTTCTCTCACATCCCCCTCCCAAACAGATCCCATGCCATCCACATCCCCTTCCCTCCCTCTGCCCTAAGCCACCCCTACCTCTGTCCTGGCCACCTCAGGGCGTGCTGACTGTACCAGGACATGCGGGTACAGTGGATGCTCTTTTGGCTCCTCCTGGGGTTTCCCAGCCATCAATCTACCCATATGAGTAGACGC